TCAATAACGATTTCTTAAAACATAAGCAAGCGAATATTAACGTTAAAAGCCGACGTTTCGGTATCATCATTATTTAACGCGACCAATTCACAGGCGGCCCAAGCTCAACCTGTTGGTCATCACTGAGGTAATTTTGTGAAATAGCGTTCAAGGCAAAAATATGAGAGTTTGTAAGAGGATATTTACGATATGCCTTTTTTCCCTTATTTTAATCACTTCCTTCGTATGGTGCGGAACACAACAGAGTGGGGCTCCAATTAAAGTGTCCTTTCAAATAACCCACCCAGCCCAAGAGAGATAAGACATACAACCGGGTTCTACGTCCCCTACTCTTTTCGAACAGTGGTGTGGGTTCTTTTACTTCCCACAAAAACCAGATAAGTGTAAGTGCTGTGAGACGGGACCTACGGTTTTTCGTCGTTATCCGAGAAGACTAGAAAGTCTAACCGTTTGCAAATGTCATTACAAGATGACACTTTAATTCTCATCAGTTACTTAAAGACCCTGAGTGTTTCGCCGGCCGTGATTTGAACCCGCGACCTCTCGCTCAGCAGACCGGCGCTCTTCCAACTGAGCTAATCAGGTGGCGGTTATAGGAAACATAAACACAAAAATTGTCACTTAAAATACCTTATCTTTCTCCCATGGTGCATCACTAGCCAAAATCACCTTGAATCGGGAAAGTAAGGGCACAGACAGCAAGCAATACATGAAAGTAAGGTATAGGAATTTTTATTTGAGAATTTTATTGTAATTATGTTTTCTAAAGCATATAGTAAATATCCCATACAAACTCTTATACTTTCGCCATGAACGCTATTTCGCAATATTATCTCTAATAAATCACAGCTTGAGTTAGGGCCGCCTGTGATCCATTCAACAAATTGAAGGCACTTCTTTACCTGCCTGTTCTCTTATCGATGATGAAATTACCCCACAGAATTGTCAAAAAGATTTCAATCCACAGGAGAACCGCAGGTGAGTGGATTCACAGGAGGACGTTAGAGTGCGTTGATACGCGCTTGCACAAACAAGCTCTCTGTCACAGACTTGATGCGGAGTGAAATCTGGAGCTAGCTCGATCTGCTGTTTGGCTTGCGCCATCTAAGCTTGAGGTAGATTTAACCCACTGACGCCCGAGACTTTTTACGTTTTTGAGTAATTTTCTACATACAAATAATCCATAGGATTTTGTGACTCCATATTTCGGGTTACCATGGAAAGTGGTGCTATTCAAACCCACTGAATACTCGAGTTTTCTGGTAACGTCATTCTGACGTAGTCATTTAACTTCGTTGAGCTGTAATAACAGCTGAAGTTTGGTTTGTATGCGATTTTTAAGTAAGTTTACAGCCACTTTTCATCTTTAGTGGCTGCCTTATGAGCATCATTAAGCGTGACGGTAGCTAAGAGCCCACTTTCTCAAAGAAGTGAGTAAGGTGATGTACTTTGTTTGCCTTGGCTTGTTGCTCGTGGAACTGGAAAAAATGACCCCTCCGAAACGAAGTACCTCTGGGACTCGGCTACTCAGGGGGGATGAATTTCTTGACCTACCAGAGCATATTTTGGCATTTGCGACCACTGAATATCCATACTCGCGAAAATTTTCGGTGTAGGTCGGAGTGGCCCTGAACAAAAAAGTGGAGGAAGAAACGAACGCTGTCAGAAAATCTGGGTATTTCCCAGCATGCAATGCAGTCGTAATGTTGAAAATCGAGGCAAGGCCAGGATTTACTAGAACAAAAGGCTGTAGCTCAGCCCGGGAAACGATTAAGAACACGGACTGGATTTTACTGTGAAATTTGTCTTGTAAACTTGCTGTGAAAAGGGAGGTTCTGGTAGGCTTGTACGACCCATTAAAATTCCCGGGCTTCTATCCGGTCGGTTGTTAATTACTTTGGTTGCTTGTTTTACAATTGGAAGTCATGTAGCTGGTCTGTCTCCTGTATACTGATTTCATTCCTGTGTTTTTCTGTTCTGATAAAGGTTGAATAACCGCTGGTCCAAGAGTAAAGAAGTGTGACGTCACAAAAATCCTAATTTGTGACATGATTGGGATTGTTTGGTATATTCATAAAGAGTAAGATAAAAAACGCCACCCAATTTCCATTAATAGGTTCATTTTTGGCAAAACGATCACATATAATTTGCTCCACCAAAGATACAAGCTCCCTTAAGCGATTTCCGAAAAAAACCCTCTTGATTTCGAGAAATACAAAAGTAAGATAAAACCGTAATGGCGTCGTTACGTTTGCATGTTTAAGTATCATATAGTATTGTATATTTTCACCATGCGATTGGTTAGTTTGCGGTCCGTAACTTGGTATACGGACCAAAATTTCAAAAGCAAATGTTAATTCATTGCAGCTCGAAATCTCTTTATCTCTCGAAAAAGAGGTCTAAAGAAAGTTATAAGACGTCTGTCAACCTTGAGGACTTGGATGTTGACTTCGTTCTTCAACAAGTTTTAAGCTGTGTTATGTGTTAACAAAGCCGATGAAGAAACTGAATCGTAATCATATCGAAGAAGAGGATTCCGGTGAGTTACTTGAAATTTTATCGCAGTACACTGACAGTTTAAAGAAGAAAAAGAGCGATTCCTTCGACAAATACGATAAGAAACATACCTGCACCTAATCACCTTGACAAGCTTCTTCGCCATTTGCAGTGTTAACGAATGAAAGATGGAAGCGAACTTGAGCCAGACACATTGTCCACTTTTCAAAAGACTCCAGCGACACATTTGGCGAGCGAATACTTACAGTGCTCTTAGTTTTGACCAAATCAACTTTTTCAATGAATTTCGAAAATGTGTTATTGTTTCCGTGAGCCAATTAAATCTTTCATATTCTGACACCTGTCAAATGACTTTCAAAGCGCTTGTCCTGCACTTGTTTCCGGTCCCCCAAACTGGAAGCCATATAATAAACATCTTATTTGCCTCGTTGTTTTTCGGTCCGTACTGTAAATTACGGATCCTGGGTTTTTTCGATCGATATATGGCCCTCTCGAGCATAAATCGATGGAAAAAAACTTGGTACGTAATTTGCAGCAAGGATCGAAAACTCGGCTAATAAGAAAACAAATTTAACATTGTTATTTGTTCATAAGAAATTTATATCTTTCCTTTCGATATCTTTGTTAATGGTGACGTAGTTAATGCTCAACTTTCAGAAGTACCCGCCTCTAAAACATGCGGTTGAGCCATCCTAAACAAGCCAACTACGCGGATATCAGGGACGCAAACGATTTCACAAATACTAAAACCACGTTGCAAAGAAACCTCTGCTTTCCATGCCGAAAAGGGTAACATTTTTGATTTACGGAAAGTGACATTACCCCTTGCCAATAGTCTATAATTATGAGTGGAAGCTATTTCGTTACCAAACATCAATTTGAGGAATAGGAGAATATTAGGGCGTATTCAAGGCTTTATTTGACCCCGTAAGGTTCGAGACAGTGCAGAAACAAACAGCTAAATAAGAGCTATATAAATTATTAACAGATAGACAGTAAATTTGCATGGTCTGTCCATCGCGTAGAATGCCTATTGTTCTCGTGCCATTCACTTACAGTTCCATAAAGTTCGAAGGTCTCAAGTCACAAGCGGTATTTCAATCTGTGTTTCCCCTTGTTTTTCTTTGTTTTTCACTTATACACAGCTTCTCGTCGACGTTACGCAAGGCCTTGAGTTGATAAAGGCAGTTTAATAGTGCAAACAAGCAACAACAACTGTTATGAAGATTTGTTTTAGTGTAGTCTTCCGGATTACTATCAGTTTTATTCTTTGTTTTTTGTTTTGTTTTTTTCATTCGTAATCAGCTCCTGTTCAACTGTTTCAGAGGCCTTTGAAAGAATGAAACCTTAAAGTGTGAATTTTAAGAGATCCTGATGTTAAAGGAGTCTTGATAAATTCTGGCTAAGGTACCGGTTGCCTGACGGAGGTAGTTGTTGGTGCATTTATTGTAGTTGTTGGTGCATTTACTGAGCACAATATTATTGAGTAAGTTTCCATTCGATACAGGTGCGATGACCTTGTGCATGACTGCCAAACTGATAAAGTCATTTTTGGAAAATATTTGCAATTTCACAGCTTTTGTAAAACTATTTCTGATCCATTTAAGTTAAACGAGAGCTCTTGGGGTGTGAAAATAATAAGCTAGTGCTTCCATTCTTTTGAAGTTTAACTCATTTCTTAGGCAGTGCAATTTCCTAGTAGTCTCAGGCCGTAACCTATTAATGACCACTTCCTGCAGCAAAGTAGTTTTGGCCTATCAAATGTGTTGTTATTTCCTAAGACACTCGTGAATAGTACAAATGATTTACACTGACGCCGCAAAAGGCTTTTAGTATCTAAGATACGGGCTACAGAAATATAACAGTTCTGAGCTAAGCAGTATGCTCTAGCACATTGTGATCTGCATTTCACAATTGTTCCAGTTAACTACTGTCGTTAAAGTGTATGTTTTCTCCTCGGCTAAAAACATTTACTGGCACCGAAATGAACTTAATTAGTCTTAGTTGTTGTTTTCATTTTGGCATTCCTATGATCTACGATCTTAACTTTTTCCGGTTTTTCTTTATCTCTCATGATCAGCTGTGGTACCGGAGCCGAATGCATTCCTTCATAGGACATTGAGAATGTTTAGATACAGCGATAGTACAGGTAACCCAGGGAAGAAATGGAACAACGGTTAATGATCTAATAAAAGTGCTCCTTTCTAAAATTTAAAACGTGTCTTTCAAGATAGGACGTCTTAACAAAATCGGCTGTCTTTCAGAGCCAAAATTTGGAAATTCTATACTTTATTTTCTTTATCAAATAAAAGACATGTCAGAACAGCCTAGGTACCAAAAACATGTCAAATAACAAATTAAATCAGATGCCTCAGAAAAAATCCATAGACAGCTTTCCTTTAAACTCATGAAAGACAGCAGCTGGTAACGTCTCCGGTGCCATTTACTATTTGGCTACGTTACCTAGTATAAAAACGCCCGTTTTCTTTGGACAACGGATTCCTTGTTATTGCACCAAAACTTCATTAATCTTGGAAATGCAGCAGTTACTGAAACTCGTTTTTGTTCTCTTGTTGTGCGTGTCTGGGTCGCGGCCCTTCCAGGTAATTTGAAATAATTTTCATTGCATGGGAACTAGACAGTGCAAAATGTGTTGATCTGGATCGTGGCAAATCTACTGCTTGTTGAGGCAGTGACAGTCATTTTGAAATGTTTCTTATTATTTTAGTTTTCGTGTTATCTGAAGTCTGCATATCAAGCTTAAAACTAAAAACTCTGAGTGATGTTCAAGGCCTTGCGGCGTAATCATGTTCAAATTCAGTATTTGTCCATCCATAAAACCTGTGAAAGAAATTATCTTTTCCTTTTGTTTTTGTTTTTGCAGCCCACGGGAGAGCTAAAGTACTGTTCCCGGCCGGGCGATTGCGCTGCTCAAGTTGAGTGCTGTGTTAAATCACGTGAAAGACCTGGTGTACGTTATTGCTCAACTATGCTCGAACTCGATGATGTTTGCACCCCGGTGTTAATAGTGAGTATAATAACTTCAGTGTTTCATGAAACTGTTTGAAGAAGGTAGGAAAATGCGTTGGTCTTATTTTGGTCACAACTTCAGCTGCTGTACGGCGTAGCTAGCCGGATTTTTGACCTCTTCCACGTGTCATACAGTGTTTTGGGGCCATAAACTGTCGCCAAAGCAGCCAACATAAAAACTAAGACTGCAACCATTGCTTTTTTGATTCTTTTTTGATTCTTCCTTTTCCAACTCGCTCTTTTTTCTCCTTTCCTTGTCCCTTTGAAGGTGAGATTTTCGAGCGAGACCGCGAGCAGTCTTTTTCTGCGAGTTACGTGGCTCTCACGAAAGAAAGGCCACCGCTCGCGGTCAATATTACCACTTATCGCTGAGTTCGTTTTCGAAAAAACTGAGTAAAACTAAAAGGAATATCTGCAAGCAAACAACAACAACAAGAAACAGGATACCACAAAACAGAACACGCACCGGGAAACAGGAAAATACTAGTTGGAGCCGGGAAATACCGTAAAATTCCGAAAATAAGCCCCTCCATGTATAAGCCCCTCCAAATATAAGTCCCCCAAACTCGTAAAGCAAAAAACCCTCCGTTTGGAGCCTTGGAAAATTGCCGTCAAATGCAAAGTAAAACAAAGCAAAAACGGAAATAGCCCAATCGATGTCGAAACGCAAATTTCCCTCCATGCCCCTCCGTATATAAGCCCCTCCAAAAACAAGCCCCTCAAAAGGGCCTTTGAAAAGATAAGCCCTGTATTATGAGCATGTCAGGCGCTGTAAAATTGTCACGTGATGATTTACTGTGAAACTCACAAAAGCGTGAACACCAAATTATTTGTGGAATGTTATTGTGTTGCGAGAAATTAGCCAATAAGGCGTGAGATATCTAAACCGCAGACAGCAACAGTAATTAGTTTGTGGTTTTGAGGTTTGCTTGCGTATCCTGAACTTTATTGCAATTGGCCAGTACACAATCAACTTTCCTGAAATTTTTCAAGGGTTCACAGTTCTCTGAGTTTGACAGTAAAATCTTCAGTCGTGTCCAGCTAATGAAGATGTTTGAGATGAAAATATCTCTGTTAAAACTATTCTAAAATTGGCTTTCCACCTTTTTAGCCTGGCCTGGACTTTTCCTGTCCTTGCACCCCAGGACTGACATGCGCAAAGATGGACGATGACGAAAAAGAAAATTCTCAATACAAATGTATTCCTGTTCCTATAATCGAGGATGAAAGAGACTGACGACAAAGTGTTGCATTTTTTTTTCTTTCTGTAAGGGGGCAAATAAAAATGTAATAAAGTCACTGAAATGTGAATTTGCAGTTGATTTAAAGTGGAATCCTTGCTTAATGTTTTGATAAAGAATTTTAAACATAGTGAATTTAAGTCTGATGTTTAAGAATAAATAGGGTATTAAAAGAAATTAGCATATAATAATATTTTTTTTGCTTTTTGTTGTTGCATGCTTTTAAACAAAATTTGGGATTTTAATCCTCATTATCTCATTATTCATTTCAAAATACTTTTGATATTTAAATGATCAGAGTAGTCATTTTTGGGTGGTTTTGGAGTCGAGATTTAGAAAGCTTCAAGTATGAAGCGCACACAATGCAGTAGGTGACGTAAGACTCGCGGAGGGGGATACTCCCATAAATTTGGATTGCTGTATAACGCCAACGGTCTTAAACCCTGATCCCATTCAAAGGGGCTGTGTCACGACATTCCAGTTCATTTTGTTTAATTTTGCCAATTACTCGCCCTCAATCGCTATGGAACTTAAAGTAAGCAAAGAAATTACATGTAAATGACAAAATCAGAGATCCGAGACAATCAAACATGTCTCCTGAGCATATTTTTGAAGTTGCAAGCAGTAGGGATCAACGTTGAAAAACTGTTAGGCCTGGTTAGGCTGAACAGTTTTCAAAAACCCTAATTTCAATTCGTTTTAATCTTCTTCA